CACTAGGAGCAGAGAGCTATCTCCTGGCCACTAGGAGCAGAGAGCTATCTCCTGGCCACTAGGAGCAGAGAGCTATCTCCTGGCCACTAGGAGCAGAGAGCTATCTCCTGGCCACTAGGAGCAGAGAGCTATCTTCTGGCCACTAGGAGCAGAGAGCTGGCCACTAGGAGCAGAGAGCTATCTCCTGGCCACTAGGAGCAGAGAGCTATCTTCTGGCCACTAGGAGCAGAGAGCTGGCCACTAGGAGCAGAGAGCTATCTCCTGGCCACTAGGAGCAGAGAGCTATCTCCTGGCCACTAGGAGCAGAGAGCTATCTCCTGGCCACTAGGAGCAGAGAGCTATCTCCTGGCCACTAGGAGCAGAGAGCTATCTCCTGGCCACTAGGAGCAGAGAGCTATCTCCTGGCCACTAGGAGCAGAGAGCTATCTCCTGGCCACTAGGAGCAGAGAGCTATCTCCTGGCCACTAGGAGCAGAGAGCTATCTCCTGGCCACTAGGAGCAGAGAGCTATCTCCTGGCCACTAGGAGCAGAGAGCTATCTCCTGGCCACTAGGAGCAGAGAGCTATCTCCTGGCCACTAGGAGCAGAGAGCTATCTTCTGGCCACTAGGAGCAGAGAGCTATCTCCTGGCCACTAGGAGCAGAGAGCTATCTCCTGGCCACTAGGAGCAGAGAGCTATCTTCTGGCCACTAGGAGCAGAGAGCTATCTCCTGGCCACTAGGAGCAGAGAGCTATCTCCTGGCCACTAGGAGCAGAGAGCTATCTTCTGGCCACTAGGAGCAGAGAGCTATCTTCTGGCCACTAGGAGCAGAGAGCTATCTCCTGGCCACTAGGAGCAGAGAGCTATCTCCTGGCCACTAGGAGCAGAGAGCTATATCCTGGCCACTGTGTAGGAGCAGAGAGCTATCTCCTGGCCACTGCTAGTACATCTGTGTTTACACTTCCTCTGATTGTCCCAAATTGTTCCCAGATTTCCGGAAGCCTGAATGATTCTGTAATAAATCCTGCAGGATTCCCCCAGGCCGATGGGCCACAGCATATCAATGTTTCCTGGCGTTCTTTTTAAAACGCCCCAGTAATGAATCTCGCACGGGCAGCGCATCACTTGATGCGTGTAAAAATATAAAATCAATTTGTCAACATTCATCTCCCCTCCTCCATTCTTTAATCACACCCCCCCCTACATACATCAATTATAGGACACTGTCCCCCACACATCAATTATAGGACACTGTCCCCCCACACATCAATTATAGGACACTGTCCCCCACACATCAATTATAGGACACTGTCCCCCACACATCAATTATAGGACACTGTCCCCCACACATCAATTATAGGACACTGTCCCCCCACACATCAATTATAGGACACTGTCCCCCCACACATCAATTATAGGACACTGTCCCCCACACATCAATTATAGGACACTGTCCCCCACACATCAATTATAGGACACTGTCCCCCCACACATCAATTATAGGACACTGTCCCCCACACATCAATTATAGGACTGTCCACATAAATCTACCCCTGAAAGCTGAACTTACCAACAAAATATTTTTAAAAAATAAATAAATAAAATTTCGAATTGTGCCTCAAATTGTATACTTGCTAACAAAATACTTTTTTAACAAAAAATAAAAGAGAATTTCAAATTGTGCCGACAACTGTATGATCTAAAAGAATAAAGCGGTAACAACAATATAAAATAAGTATATGCTTCGTACACCAAATCAGCTCCTATCTTGCTTAAGTTCATTTACTAAGGACACTCAAAATAATTAGCATAATCATCAGCCTCAGACTATTTACACAGCAACATTTTATTTTACTGTAAAGTGATTGTTAAATGTAGGTCTCTGGACCTGTCAGCGGCTCGCCTGACGTTGTTAAAATAATAGTAACCCTATCCAGTAAGAAATGGTTTAGCTAATCGCAGATTAAGTAGGATTCTGCTAGACATAGATTTCTAGATCTTGGTTTAGCTAATCGCAGATTAAGTAGGATTCTGCTAGACATAGATCTCGGTTTAGCTAATCGCAGATTAAGTAAAATTCTGCTAGACATAGATCTTGGTTTAGCTAATCGCAGATTAAGTAGGATTCTGCTAGACATAGATCTTGGTTTAGCTAATCGCAGATTAAGTAGGACTCTGCTAGACATAGATCTTGGTTTAGCTAATCGCAGATTAAACAGAATTCTGATAGACATAGATCTCTGTTTAGCTAATCGCAGATTAAGTAAAATTCTGCTAGACATAGATCTCGGTTTAGCTAATCGCAGATTAAGTAAAATTCTGCTAGACATAGATCTTGGTTTAGCTAATCGCAGATTAAGTAGGACTCTGCTAGACATAGATCTTGGTTTAGCTAATCGCAGATTAAGTAGGATTCTGCTAGACATAGATCTTGGTTTAGCTAATCGCAGATTAAGTAAGATTCTGCTAGACATAGATCTTGGTTTAGCTAATCGCAGATTAAGTAAGATTCTACTACATAGATCTTGGTTTAGCGACCTGATTCTTGACGGTCAATGAAGTATGTCATTTTATCGTTGAAATTTTCAGCAATAAAGGAAATGAGGTTACGACAGATTAATACGAGTTTTGTGTTGCATTTCTCGTTGATTTTAAAGCTAATTTTAGATTACATACATTTGAATTGTACAAAGTAAGTTATAAAAATATCAAATACATACGATGTTGCACTTAATTTCTCCCTTTCTTTTTTAAAAACCCTCCCATACCGTGAATAGCCTCTGTCCCTATAGACGGTTGACGTCATTTATGGACGGCACTTAAAAACATCGATCCTTTATGGACGGCACATATAATACCGGCTCCTACTCTAAAAACGAAATCACTTGCCAACAGTGAAGTACTTCACAACAAGACGACTTAAAATATGTAACAGTGTCAGTAAAGTTGTTTAACTGTGTCAGTAAAGTTTAAAATATATAACGGTGTCACTAATGTTAGTTTAAGTAGGTGTGTGGAAATGTGCGGTACTGTGATACCGCTTTTTTTTTAATTGGCCAGGGCGAATCCTGGTCGGAACGACGAAATAAAAAGTAAATAAAACTGAATTCACTAAATTACTTCAGCTCTGTTTTATCTACTTGTCAATCATCTTGGTTATAGTACTTGTTTATAGTGCTTTTAGCGCAATTTCCATTCTGGAGATTTGCGTTTATTAACTCGTCTTTTCTGGGAATGGATGTATGGATGTGTGTCCGCAGCTTTAAGTCGTATCTCCTCGTCAGCGAAGCAATATCGAGATCTAGTTCCAAAAGCAAATATGTTAATGAAGTTCCGACGATGATAGTGGGCCAAAAAAATTCCCGGAATTCCTTCCTGGATTTCGCAGAAAAGCCAAAAAACCTCGGAAAAATGCAGTTTTGGCCCAGATCTCGGCAACCAGACCACTTAGCGACTTGAATGCCATAATTTAGAACAATATTGCCGAAGAAAGTTTTCAAAAATATCCCTTCGTTCGGTCACAATTTTTTTTTAAACTTACATTATACATAATACACTACAGTACTATGTAGCAATATATAGATATCTATTTTTCGCTATCTTTTAGTTCTTGCTATAAGTTTATTTTATTTTATTACTTATTTACTTATTAATTCAAACGTTATTTTTGTACCCTATTAATTTATTTATAATTTATATGAGAGTGATAGGGAGTTACAATTACAAGGTTTTGTTTCGCTAGGCCTAATCATTTTTTCACATTTTTTAAAAACAATAGAGTTATATGACTAAAAACCACTGCGCGCCTACTGAACGTGATGGCGCAGCCATGGAACGTGATGACGCATCTATTGAACGTGATGACGCGTACATAAGGAAATTGCGCTTAAATTGTCACTAGACTTAGACACGTACAGACAGACACATGAACTTACACACACTTACCTGTTGCTGATGTACACACTATCCTATCTGTTGCTGATGTACACACTAACCCACCTGTTGCTGATGTACACACTAATCTACCTGTTGCTGATGTACACACTAACATACCTGTTGCTGATGTACACACTAATCTACCTGTTGCTGATGTACACACTAACCTATCTGTTGCTGATGTACACACTAATCCACCTGTTGCTGATGTACACACTAATCTACCTGTTGCTGATGTACACACTAACATACCTGTTGCTGATGTACACACTAATCTACCTGTTGCTGATGTACACACTAACCTATATGTTGCTGATGTACACACTAACCCACCTGTTGCTGATGTACACACTAATCTACCTGTTGCTGATGTACACACTAACCTATCTGTTGCTGATGTACACACTAACATACCTGTTGCTGATGTACACACTAACCCACCTGTTGTTTATGTACACACTAACATACCTGTTGCTGATGTACACACTAACCTATCTGTTACTGATGTACACACTAACCTATATGTGGTGATGTAATGTGTATGATAGGTGAATACGTGGAACGGATCACTGCGTGTGTGTATGTATCATGTAGTGAGACGCGAGGCCGGGTGTGTTGACGTGTATGTTGTTGTACGGAGTGAACGAGGATACAAGGGAAGCGACTGGTCGGGTGACAGTGGCTGTGTTGTGAGCGGGAGAAAGGTGGTGTGTAGGAATGAATGCGGAGGACAGTTGAAAGTTGGAGTGAAAGCAAACAGGTTGATGTGGGACTAGGTGGCGCGTTTAAGAGAAATAAAGGATACTGTGATACCGAGCCTCAATCGTGTTGGTTGTGTATTCTTTGAGATTCTGACACCCTCACACTATATGTTGCTGATGTACACACTAACACACCTGTTGCTGATGTACACACTAACCCACCTGTTGCTGATGTACACACTAACACACCTGTTGCTGATGTACACACTAACCCACCTGTTGCTGATGTACACACTAACCCACCTGTTGCTGATGTACATACTAACACACCTGTTGCTGATGTACACACTAACACACCTGTTGCTCATGTACACACGAACCCACCTGTTGAGAACGACGGAGACGACGATGAAGATCCCCCACCTCAGGCTAGGTGTAACAGCATTTGACCTTGACATTGCCTTGGTGATGTCATCAAACTTGACACAATGTTCACTCACATGACAAGAACTGAAATCAACAAAAACAACTTGCCATATTAGTCCACATTTTAAATCAACAAAAACAACTTGACATACCAATCCACATTTGAAATTAACAAAAACAACTTGCCATACTAATCCACATTTGAAATCAACAAAAACAACTTGCCATACTAATCCACATTTTAAACAAACAAAAACAACTTGCCATACTAATCCACATTTGAAATTAACAAAAACAACTTGTCATACTAATCCACATTTGAAATCAACAAAAACAACTTGCCATACTAATCCACATTTGAAATTAACAAAAACAACTTGCCATACTAATCCACATTTTAAACAAACAAAAACAACTTGCCATACTAATCCACATTTGAAATCAACAAAAACAACTTGCCATACTAATTCACATTTTAAACAAACAAAAACAACTTGCCATACTAATCCACATTTGAAATCAACAAAAACAACTAGCCATACTATTCCACATTTGAAATCAACAAAAACAACTTGCCATACTAATCCACATTTGAAATTAACAAAAACAACTTGCCATACTAATCCACATTTTAAACAAAAACAACTTGCCATATTAGTCCACATTTTAAACAAAAACAACTTGCCATATTAGTCCACATTTTAAACAAACAAAAACAACTTGCCATATTAGTCCACATTTTAAACAAACAAAAACAACTTGCCATACTAATCCACATTTGAAATTAACAAAAACAACTTGTCATACTAATCCACATTTTAAACAAACAAAAACAACTTGCCATACTAATCCACATTTGAAATCAACAAAAACAACTAGCCATACTATTCCACATTTGAAATCAACAAAAACAACTTGCCATACTAATCCACATTTGAAATTAACAAAAACAACTTGCCATACTAATCCACATTTTAAACAAACAAAAACAACTTGCCATACTAATCCACATTTGAAATTAACAAAAACAACTTGCCATACTAATCCACATTTGAAATTAACAAAAACAACTTGCCATACTAATCCACATTTGAAATTAACAAAAAACAACTTGCCATACTAATCCACATTTGAAATTAACAAAAACAACTTGTCATACTAATCCACATTTTAAATTAACAAAAACAACTTGCCATACTAATCCACATTTGAAATTAACAAAAACAACTTGCCATACTAATCCACATTTGAAATCAACAAAAACAACTTGCCATACTAATCCACATTTTAAACAAACAAAAACAACTTGCCATACTAAACCACATTTTAAACAAACAAAAACAACTTGCCATACTAAACCACATTTTAAACAAACAAAAACAACTTGCCATACTAAACCACATTTTAAACAAACAAAAACAACTTGCCATACTAAACCACATTTTAAACAAACAAAAACAACTTGCCATACTAAACCACATTTTAAACAAACAAAAACAACTTGCCATACTAAACCACATTTTAAACAAACAAAAACAACTTGCCATACTAAACCACATTTTAAACAAACAAAAACAACTTGCCATACTAAACCACATTTTAAACAAACAAAAACAACTTGCCATACTAATCCACATTTGAAATTAACAAAAACAACTTGCCATACCAATCCACATTTGAAATAAACCGGATTGTTTAAATAAAACAAATATAAAAACTTTATAGCGACAAGCTTTTAAATGCACTGAAAATAAGAAAATAAATGTAATTTACTTTCCTTAATAGAAGCTTTGGTCGCTCATGAGATTTTTTTATATATTTGACCGACAAATGCTGTTAATAAAAAAAAGTAAATTAGTTTTATTTTCTTATTTTCAGTGCATTTAAAAGCTTGTCGCTATAAAAGTTTTCTATATTTGTTTTATATTCTCCTTTTTAATGATTCATAATTCATGAAGTTGACACGACTAAAAATATTATTAACTTTAAAACACCATTGGTAGCACGTGATATCTAAAAGACGATTATCTGCTCCTTGAAAGCAGTCGTTTGTGACCATATTTTAGAGACGACAGAAAGTTCTTAATTTTTGTTTACCTCCCCTTAGTTTCAAATCGTTTAAAAACTTTATTATCTGCCCCTAGATTGAGAACTCTACGATTGTAAACATTCTCGTGAACCACCAGACTGTTAGGGTGATCGCGTCTAGCTAGTTATATCACCTTCTGTTATTGAGCATAGTAATCTATCGAGTGATTGAATTGTGTTATCCCCCCACCCCTTACTACCAACCGTTTAATTGATTTTAATTAAACATCTAATTACATAAAAAAATTAGAGAGACCTATATTATCATCAAAGTGGAACGTATCTGGAAAGTTTGAACGAAATCGCTGCATTAGAAGTGGGTCAAAATTGCGTTACAAGATTTGCCACAAACCCACAAACAAACAAACAGACGTTGCAAACTAAATGTAAGCTTGTAAATATGTCGATTCTCCTAATGTCGAAAAACAAACGTGTGAGTTACAAACTGAAACAGATGAAGCGTGGCTAAACATGAGAGAAAACTGTCCTGAAAATCAAAACTAGTTTTGTACAGCTATTTGCCATTTACTTGGCAAAAGTTTGAGAACAAAGCTAATGGCAAAAAATGTACAAAACTAGTTGGTTCTATGGTGAGTAAATCACAGGAGTATCTTGAATAAGACGCAAAGAAATTTTCAGTGGATTACAAAAAATAAGTTTTAATAAATGTGTATCAATGTTTGTTTTTATATAGGCCTATATCAAAACAAAATCTGTCACATTGAATGTTAACTGACAAGTATTTCCAGACAAACGTGGTTTGAATAACTTTAAAAATTGAATCTGACTTTACAGGATAACAAACGTATCAAAAAAATCTTTTAGTCTTATAAATAAATAAACCGGGAGTGATCTCCCCTAAACTTTTGAAAAATTCAAAGTAGAAAAAGTACCACTTCCGGTTATCGGAAATCGCTCAAAAGTTGATACGGATCTACTATTTTGATAAAAAAAACTTATATATGAAATTTCATCAACCTAGCTGTAACGGTACTCAAGTTATCGTGTTTACACACACACACACACACACACATACGCACGCACGCACGCACACACACAGACAGACAGACACACAGACATACGGACAAGATTGCAAAATTATGTTTTTCCGTATCAGTGGGGTGTAAAACGTCGAGATTTATAAAATCTCGATTTTTTTGCACGATTACAAGACTTTCTCTATACTTCGTATATACGAGAAAGTAAAAACCACGGAATGTACTGTACATATTGCATTTCACAGAATCTCAAAAAATGTTAGAAGAGAGATCTAGAAATTTAGGGAAATCGAAATCTTGAGAAAAGTTTAGATAAAGAAATAAATGAGCGAAAATGTTTCGAAACCTTATGTACACATGAGGAAATTGTTATTGGGTGGGATGGTTGCAGGAATGGAAATATGTCAGTTTCAACATGTTGAAAAAGTCTAGTTTCAACATTTACAATTGTTGAACAAAGTCTAATGTCAACATTTACAATATAGATGTTGAACAAAGTCTAATGTCAACATTTACATTTAGATGTTGAACACAGTCTAGTTTCAACATTTACAATTGTTGAACATTATACAATGTAGATGTTGAAAAAAGTCTAGTTTCAACATTTACAATTGTTGAACATTATACAATGTAGATGTTGAAAAAAGTCTAGTTTCAACATTTACAATTGTAGAACATTATACAATGTAGATGTTGAAAAAAGTCTAGTTTCAACATTTACAATTGTTGAACATTATACAATGTAGATGTTGAAAAAAGTCTAGTTTCAACATTTACAATTGTTGAACATTATACAATGTAGATGTTGAACAAAATCTAGATTCAACATTTACAATTGTTGAACATAGTTTCAACATTTACAATTGTTGAACATTATACAATGTAGACGTTGAACAAAGTCTAGACGCCATTAGCAGAAAACCTTTTGTTTGAATTTATCGATTTATTCTTTACAATTCTACATACACTTCCTCGTTGGTGTCTTAGTGGGGGAGAGTGGGGGTGGTTGGCTTTACAGGGGGAGGGAGGGGCCTGCACAGGGGGAGAGGGAGGGGCTCATAGGGGACGGGGCTTCACAGGGGAAGGGGGGGGGGCTTCACATGGGGAGGGTGCTGCACAGCCATGGGGGGGGGGGGGGGGAAGGGGGCTTCACGGTGGTAATAGAGTGAGAACAGTTTTGAGAAGTAGAGAGTAGTTAATAGAATGAGGAGTAGGGTTGTAATATAAGTTGTGATGTGTTCATGTGATGAGGTGTTCATGTGGTGAGGTGTTCATGTAATGAGGTGTTCATGTAATGAGGTGTTCATGTGGTGAGGTGTTCATGTGATGAGGTGTTCATGTGATGAGGTTTTCACGTGGTGAGGTTTTCATGTGATGAGGTGTTTATGTAATGAGGTGTTCATGTGATGAGGTGTTCATGTGATGAGGTTTTCATGTAATTGATGTGTTCATGTAATTGAGAAATACTTTGCTGTGTTACCTGTCTTCTGTCTCGATGTAGTTTGTTGTGTGTTTTGTGTTGACCATATAACCAAATCAATTTGCCAAATCTCGAACACCTAATTACACAACTGATACCTCGGCACCTCACACAGAAAATTTGTTTTAACGCCGGTCTTTTAAACTACTGAACACCGTCCGTATAAACTACTGGACACCGTCCGTAGGATGCTGTACTGTGTAGTAAAAAAAAACACACACACACACACACTGAATGAAATTCATGTCTGCTGTGATGGCAGCTACTTCTTTCTTCAAGAGATTGAGTGACCACTAGTGACCAGTCCATACCCTTCCCCCCCCCCCCCCCCCCTCCCATCTGATGAGACCTTAATGGTACATAGACTTAACTTAATGGACGACACAAATCTAATAACGTCTTAACGTGAAAGGAAATATTATCCCCACCCCACCATAGCGGGAAGTTGTGGGCAACTCGAGTAGCCCCGGGGGTACCGCCCCTTGGGACCGCTCAACGTAACACGAGAAATCTTTAGGCAAAAGAAAAGATAAATTTACTGGAGCTAAGAAAATTCGTTATTTGAAAAAAAAAACCCCACAATCTTTAGACACTTTTTGACGGCAGTCACAAAACCAGGCAGTCACAGAACCAACTGTACAGTCTGAATTACTTTAAGCTCAGACAAGTTGACTTCAGACAAGCTCAGTCATTGAGCTCCGTCTATTTAGGCTACCAAGAAAATATGGAAATAAGCTGTAACGTACCTGTTAATCAATCAGGGGTCAGACGTGGGGCCAGGCCTCATCCTCCATATGCCGATTGTTTTTTCAAGTAAGCCATCAGAAGCCATCCACTCTATGCGCCACTACTGGCCGGGCCGAATGAGGGAGAAGGTTGGCGGCAAACGGGAGATAACTCGCGATCGCTCTCCACCGGAAGCACAATGTGTCGCGTGCTCGTTGGGCGGGGATTGTTCGGTTGTCACGTGATCAGATGATACGTGCTCCATCATTATCTGCTCATAGTTCTTTAGCATGGGTCTGTAACATGGGTCTGTAACATGGGCCTGTAACATGGGTCTGTAACATGGGTCTGTAACATGGGTCTTTAGCATGGGTCTGTAACATGGGTCTGTAACATGGGTCTGTAACATGGGTCTTTAGCATGGGTCTGTAACATGGGTCTGTAACATGGGTCTGTAACATGGGTCTGTAACATGGGTCTGTAACATGGGTCTGTAACATGGGTCTGTAACATGGGTCTTTAGCATGGGTCTGTAACATGGGTCTGTAACATGGGTCTTTAACATGGGTCTGTAACATGGGTCTGTAACATGGGTCTGTAACAGGGGTCTTTAGTATGGGTCTGTAACAGGGGTCTGTAACATGGGTCTCTAACATGGGTCTTTAGCATGAGTCTGTAACATGGGTCTGTAACATGGGTCTTTAGCATGGGTCTTTAGTATGAGTCTGTAACATGGGTCTGTAACATGGGTCTGTAACATGGGCCTGTAACATGGGTCTGTAACATGGGTCTGTAACATGGGTCTGTAACATGGGTCTGTAACATGGGTCTGTAACATGGGTCTGTAACATGGGTCTGTAACATGGGTCTGTAACATGGGTCTGTAACATGGGTCTTTAGCATGGGTCTGTAACATGGGTCTGTAACATGGGTCTTTAACATGGGTCTGTAACATGGGTCTGTAACATGGGTCTGTAACAGGGGTCTTTAGTATGGGTCTGTAACAGGGGTCTGTAACATGGGTCTCTAACATGGGTCTTTAGCATGAGTCTGTAACATGGGTCTGTAACATGGGTCTTTAGCATGGGTCTTTAGTATGAGTCTGTAACATGGGTCTGTAACATGGGTCTGTAACATGGGTCTGTAACATGGGTCTGTAACAGGGGTCTTTAGTATGGGTCTGTAACAGGGGTCTGTAACATGGGTCTCTAACATGGGTCTTTAGCATGAGTCTGTAACATGGGTCTGTAACATGGGTCTTTAGCATGGGTCTTTAGTATGAGTCTGTAACATGGGTCTGTAACATGGGTCTGTAACATGGGCCTGTAACATGGGTCTGTAACATGGGTCTGTAACATGGGTCTGTAACATGGGTCTGTAACATGGGTCTGTAACATGGGTCTGTAACATGGGTCTGTAACATGGGTCTGTAACATGGGTCTGTAACATGGGTCTTTAGCATGGGTCTGTAACATGGGTCTGTAACATGGGTCTTTAACATGGGTCTTTAGCATGGGTCTGTAACATGGGTCTGTAACATGGGTCTTTAACATGGGTCTGTAACATGGGTCTGTAACATGGGTCTCTAACATGGGTCTTTAGTATGGGTCTGTAACAGGGGTCTGTAACATGGGTCTCTAACATGGGTCTTTAGCATGAGTCTGTAACATGGGTCTGTAACATGGGTCTTTAGCATGGGTCTTTAGTATGAGTCTGTAACATGGGTCTGTAACATGGGTCTGTAACATGGGCCTGTAACATGGGTCTGTAACATGGGTCTGTAACATGGGTCTGTAACATGGGTCTGTAACATGGGTCTGTAACATGGGTCTGTAACATGGGTCTGTAACATGGGTCTGTAACATGGGTCTGTAACATGGGTCTTTAGCATGGGTCTGTAACATGGGTCTGTAACATGGGTCTTTAACATGGGTCTGTAACATGGGTCTGTAACATGGGTCTGTAACAGGGGTCTTTAGTATGGGTCTGTAACAGGGGTCTGTAACATGGGTCTCTAACATGGGTCTTTAGCATGAGTCTGTAACATGGGTCTGTAACATGGGTCTTTAGCATGGGTCTTTAGTATGAGTCTGTAACATGGGTCTGTAACATGGGTCTGTAACATGGGTCTGTAACATGGGTCTGTAACAGGGGTCTTTAGTATGGGTCTGTAACAGGGGTCTGTAACATGGGTCTCTAACATGGGTCTTTAGCATGAGTCTGTAACATGGGTCTGTAACATGGGTCTTTAGCATGGGTCTTTAGTATGAGTCTGTAACATGGGTCTGTAACATGGGTCTGTAACATGGGCCTGTAACATGGGTCTGTAACATGGGTCTGTAACATGGGTCTGTAACATGGGTCTGTAACATGGGTCTGTAACATGGGTCTGTAACATGGGTCTGTAACATGGGTCTGTAACATGGGTCTTTAGCATGGGTCTGTAACATGGGTCTGTAACATGGGTCTTTAACATGGGTCTGTAACATGGGTCTGTAACATGGGTCTGTAACAGGGGTCTTTAGTATGGGTCTGTAACAGGGGTCTGTAACATGGGTCTCTAACATGGGTCTTTAGCATGAGTCTGTAACATGGGTCTGTAACATGGGTCTTTAGCATGGGTCTTTAGTATGAGTCTGTAACATGGGTCTGTAACATGGGTCTGTAACATGGGCCTGTAACATGGGTCTGTAACATGGGTCTGTAACATGGGTCTGTAACATGGGTCTGTAACATGGGTCTTTAGCATGGGTCTGTAACATGGGTCTGTAACATGGGTCTGTAACATGGGTCTGTAACATGGGTCTGTAACATGGGTCTGTAACATTGGTCTGTAACATGGGTCTGTAACATGGGTCTTTAGCATGGGTCTGTAACATGGGTCTGTAACATGGGTCTTTAACATGGGTCTGTAACATGGGTCTGTAACATGGGTCTGTAACAGGGGTCTTTAGTATGGGTCTGTAACAGGGGTCTGTAACATGGGTCTCTAACATGGGTCTTTAGCATGAGTCTGTAACATGGGTCTGTAACATGGGTCTTTAGCATGGGTCTTTAGTATGAGTCTGTAACATGGGTCTGTAACATGGGTCTGTAACATGGGCCTGTAACATGGGTCTGTAACATGGGTCTGTAACATGGGTCTGTAACATGGGTCTGTAACATGGGTCTGTAACATGGGTCTGTAACATGGGTCTCTAACATGGGTCTTTAGCATGAGTCTGTAACATGGGTCTGTAACATGGGTCTTTAGCATGGGTCTTTAGTATGAGTCTGTAACATGGGTCTGTAACATGGGTCTGTAACATGGGCCTGTAGCATGGGTCTGTAACATGGGTCTGTAACATGGGTCTGTAACATGGGTCTGTAACATGGGTCTGTAACATGGGTCTGTAACATGGGTCTGTAACATGGGTCTTTAGCATGGGTCTGTAACATGGGTCTCTAACATGGGTCTGTAACATGGGTCTGTAACATGGGTCTGTAACATGGGTCTGTAACATGGGTCTGTAACAGGGGTCTTTAGTATGGGCCTGTAACATGGGTCTGTAACATGGGTCTGTAACATGGGTCTGTAACAGGAGTCTACAACATGGGTCTGTAACATGGGTCTGTAACATGGGTCTGTAACATGGGTCTTTAGCATGGGTCTTTAGTATGGGTCTTTAACATGGGTCTTTAGTATGGGTCTTTAGCATGGGTCTTTAGTATGGGTCTGTAACATGGGTCTTTAGCATGGGTCTGTAACATGGGTCTGTAACATGGGTCTCTAACATGGGTCTCTAACATGGGTCTCTAACATGGGTCTGTAACATGGGTCTGTAACATGGGTCTGTAACATGGGTCTGTAACATGGGTCTACAACATGGGTCTGTAACACGGGTCTACAAGACTAGTCTGTAACAAGACCATCATTGCTACTGTAACAAAAGCCATTAACATAATTATTTCCGCTGACACTCAACGTGATTACGTTATCAATTCCGCCAACATGAGTTGTATTTAGCAATCAAAATATTTTCTTGAATAAAATTAATGCTGAAAGTCTAGAATCTATTTGATGCAACGGTCATTTAGCTGTAAATGTTATTTTTATATGTAACGGTTATTTATATGTAACGGTTATTTAGATGTAAAGGTTATTTAGATGTAAAGGTTATTTATATTAAGTTATTTAGATGTAACAGTTATTTAGATGTAACGGCTATTTTTACTTTCTCGTATATACGAAGTATAGAGAAAGTCTTGTAATCGTGCAAAAAAAAAAAATCGAGATTTTTGCAAATCTCGACGTTTTACATCTCACTGATACGGAAAAACATAATTTTGCAATCTTGTCCGTATGTCTGTGTGTCCGTGTGTGTGTGTGTGTGTGTGTGTGTGTGTGTCCGTGTGTAAACACGATAACTTGAGTACCGTTACAGCTAGGTTGATGAAATTTCATATACAAGTATTATATCAAAATCGTAGATCCGTATCAACTTTTGAGCGATTTCCGATAACCGGAAGTGGTACTTTTTCTACTTTGAATTTTTCAAAAGCCTATAACTTGAGTACTATTTCAGATAGATAAATGAAATTTCACATGTAAGTAAAAGATCTAATTCTCTACCTTCTGTTAAATTTTGAGTAATTTCCGTTGACCGGAAGTAGTACTTTACGCTACTTCCGATTTCTCAAAAAACTAATGTAAATTTATAAAGTACTAATACTTTTACGCACTATTATACACACCTTTATTAGGCGTTCGCTTGGTGCGCAATTGTTTTTTACTGAGATTCTATTCTATTTTTAAAAGTTTCAGTATTTAAAATGGATTAAAGATCATAACTATATCCCCAGTTACCATCCCCTGTTGTTTTATATAAGAATATTCGAGAAAGTTTAGGGGAGATCACTACCGGTTTATTAGATCTCCTTTTCAAAATATTACAGAAAATTAATGTGGCAGACACTTAAATTTTTATTTTAGTATTTTATGCTACAGGAGGAATAAATGCTGTGTCTTCCACCTAACCACCCACACACCCACCCCCACACACACACACCCACCCACTCTATCCATCTATGTATGAATCCATCCATCCACAATTTCATCCATAAATAAATTGAACGATTTTAATCAGATTAAAAAGGAGAGTATCAAATAATGCTTTATTTACCTTCAACCGTAAACGTTAATACAATTAAGCCTCTCGAACAAAAAATACGTCGCTGTTGTCTGTTTAAATCTTTGTCAAATTTTTCTCAAACCTTTGTTAAACCTTTGTCAAACCTTTGTCAAACCTTTGTCAAACATTTGTCAAACCTTTGTTAAACCTTTGTCAAACCTTTGTCAAACCTTTGTCAAACCTTTGTTAAACCTTTGTTAAACCGCCTCACTGCGGTCTTTCAACGAATTGGTGTCAACTCGAGACGAAGCTGACCCCCTTGACCCATGTGACTCCTTGGTCGGGGGGACGTTGGAGCCGATGGAGAGCTTGGCGCTGCTGGTGTCGCCATTGGGCACCTTCTGACTGGCTGGCTCCGGCTCTTCCTTGGTCGGCTCCGTCGTGGTGGTAGGGGGCGGCTCCTCGTGACCGGCTGAAGGGACGGCACCGGAAGTCTCCTGGGCGGAGGGCGAGAAGGCCGAGTAGCCGATGCTGCGGTGGACACTCCTGAGCTCCTGCTTCCAGTTCCACGGCCAGGTGGTCAACATCTGCTTGTACACCTGGCGGTACTCACGTCGGCCGATGGCGTAGATGGCGGCGTTGACGGCCGAGTTGCCGAAGTTGAGCAGCTGCGTGTAGACTTTGATCAGCTCGATCGTCTTCTCGTCAAAGACTTTCTTCACTTTGAACGGAACGACCATGACGTACGGCAGCCAGAAGAAGACGAAGAGGAACATGAGCACGGCGGTGATCTTGATGGTGTTGACGCGGTTCTTGAACTGGACAATCTGTTCTTTGGTCATGGTGGACTTCTGCACCTCAAAGGCCTTGATCTGCCGATACACGACGATGCAGATTTGAACGTACAGGATAAAAGGTATCCCGATACAGACGAAGACCGAACCAAAGAGGGAGATCATGATGTAGGGTTTGGGCAGCGTGATGTAGAAGTTGCAGCGTTCGTACAGCGTCTTGTTGGCGTTCTTGTCGTAGTAGTTGTACCCCATCCACGGGGTGAAGGCCATCAGGGTCAGGTAGACCCAGATGCCAATGGTGATCCGGATGATGCGCTTCTGGGTCACCAGGGTCGTGTACCTGAACGGTGACATGACCGCCATGTAGCGGTCAATAGCGATGACCAGCAGCGTGTAGAGCGAGCCCCCGGCGCCGTAGATGATGGAGCTGAACCACAGCAGACAGAGGTACTTGTGGTTGAAGATGAACGGCTTGGTGGCGGGGATGTAGGCCAGCGCGTACATCGGGATACAGAAACTGCCCATCAGGAAGTCGGCGATGGCCAGACTCAGAAGGAGGATGTTGTTGTTGGTGTGAAAGCCCGGGTAGAAGAGGATGCTGAAGAAGACGATGATGTTGGAGACGATGATGATGGGCATGTAGATGAGGCAGACGGCCACGAAGACGTTGTGGGCGAGCAGGACTTGTGGGTGACTCAGGAACTCAAAGGCCACAAAGTCCACCTCAAAAAACACGTTCTCCATCTCATGGGGCAGGGAAGGTCAAGGTAGTTTCTCCTGGGACAAGGTCAAGGTAGTTTCTCCTGGGGCAGGAAAGGTCAAGGTAATTTCTCCTGGGACAAGGTCAAGGTAGTTTCTCCTGGGACAGGAAAGGTCAAGGTAATTTCTCCTGGGACAGAAAAGGTCAAGTTAGTTTCTCCTGGGTTGTGCTGAAGTTAGGGTTAGGTTAAAGTATGAGGCTGGACTGAATGTACAATGTTTTCAGGGAAAGTGGCGGCCTCTCTCAGCGCCTGGGGTGATAGGTGATTTCAGGGAGGGGGGGGGGGGGGGCTCAGTTGTGACTGGGGTGATAGATGCTTGATTTTAGGGGGTGTAAGGGGGGGGGGGGGGTTGCGGCCTTTCCCAGTGGTCGATGGTTCCCCATTAAGCCCCCGGTTAATTTTAAAAACTATATAGATCTAGCTTAGATTTTTTCATTATTTGCTAAATTCTAGATTCTCACAAGTGAAACACAACATAGACCTACACAAAGGTATCGATACACTAATCAAATAAAAATGCCGAAGGATGAACACGTGATGACAGTATACATGTACTTGCTTTGTGAAATGAATCAACGTTCTCTTTATGTCGAGCACTCAGCCTCTGCCAATCAACAGCTGATGCGCGCGGTAAATCACGCGACAACTATCAAATAAAACATTGTGTCTAGACTAGACTTAAGCTCTGTCATGTATAACAATGATCACTTGAGGAGTTTCATTTGGTGTTTTACACGGGTTCCAAATGGTGCAGCTTTATGCGATCTGCGTTCATGAGGAAACGAAAAGCTATTTTTATCAATCGATTTAATGCATCTGAAAACTAAAAGGTTTAAAAAGTCCACATGGGTTTGTAAACTGTCAGTAGCTCACTCATCTCTCGCGTGTAAGATGCTAATTAGGTCAATAGAAAGATGAAGTAGAGTTCATCTGCTTCTGTGACTATGCCATTGTGTTGGTGCAGTAACTTAACAGACGACAATATATAGTAACAGCAGGACCACTGTGTCCAGGGACTGTACTCTAGTAATTCCTAACAAACAAGACAGACTTAATTCCCTTGAATATTTCACCACTGTGTCCAGGGACAGTACTCAAGTAATTCACCCGTGAATTAGTACGTGAATGGTGACACGTATATGAACAGATCACCACATCCTACTTTAGTATTGTATCATACACTGGCGTCACCAGGCGGGGGCGGGGGATGCTCTTTTTACCGGGGAGGGGGGAGATTCCATAACAAAAACAACACATTGAAATGAGAAAGTCTGCTTTCTTCAATTTGTTAACAGCTTATGAAAGTTATATAAATCATTAAGCACATTGTAGCACCAGCTGAGAAGGGGGGGGGGGACACACACCAAACTGCATATTATACTGTACATACTGTATATAGTCGTTGGCAGAGGGGGCGACACCCTGAGAAACTGCACCTGGTGTCACCCGGCCTAGTGACGCCACCGTATCACATCCACCCTTTTAGCACAGTAGCACATCCACCCTTTTAGCACAGTAGCACAGCCACCCTTTTAGCACAGTAGCACATCCACCCTTTTAGCACAGTAGCACAGCCACCCTTTTAGCACAGTAGCACATCCACCCTTTTAGCACAGTAGCACAGTTAATAAAAGAAAGAAAACACACAAAAAATATTTTTGTTTATTTAATAAAACACAAAGCACTGTGTTACTGGATATCGCAGTTAAATCAAATCAAGTATAAAATAGTGACGTCACAGCACAGGGATATGGAGGTCGAAAACTGGACACGGTTGGTCAGTTCACAACAGGAGCTGGTTCTTTACAGGTCACAAGCTTAGGGTCGCAGTTCAAAGGTCAACACACTTGGATATTCACACACATCAACATTTACAAATCATTCAAGTTGACCAATCACAAGTCAACAAAGTTGACCAATCACAGATCGACAAGGTTGGCCATTGGCAAGTCATCATAATCGGCCATCCATAGATCTCTAAAGTTGGCCATCCAAATGTTTATTTACAAAACTTACATCCATTCTATTTTGAGCATACAAGTTCAACACAAGTTGATCAATTAGTTTAGTTGCCGTCTCATTTTGTCTCTTTGAAAATAGATGGGCCATCAAATGATGGCCACTCACAAATGTAAGGGCCATCAAAAGATGGCCACTCACAAATGTAAGGGCCATCAAAAGATGGCCACTCACAAATGTAAGGGCCATCAAAAGATGGCCACTCACAAATGTAAGGGCCATCAAAAGATGGCCACTCACAAATGTAAGGGCCATCAAAAGATGGTCACTCACACATGTAAGGGCCATCAAAAGACGGCCACTTACAAATGTAAGGGCCATCGGCCACTTACAAGTTAAGAATGAGGGATTTCATGTATGCTGCAGCAGCTAAGGCGGCGTAACTCCTCCACTGTTTTTTGTTGCCGTCCTCATAGTCGCACATCCCTGAAGGGGGGGGGGGAAGGGATTGATTAGTTTAACATACCAGACTGTAACCAGAACAGGTCAAACTCAATTTTAAATTTTAAAATGCTGAACATATAAAATTAGCTCGTTTTTAATTAGTTTTACAATTATGGATACAAACATTGGGATGAAAATAATTGAAAGGCCCAGAGTAGGAGATGATAGAAGATGGTGGGAGATGGTACGCTTAATTAACCAAGGACTAATTAACCAAGGTCTAATTAATCAGTGACTAGCTAAGCCACCAGCATGACGTACCTAAGATGACCAGGTAACTCTCACAACAGTTGCCCTCGACTGACTCGAGAACGGCGTCGTGTTCCTGGTGGTATGCCTTGATGCCGTTCAGCTGCGCAAACTCTCTGCGCATCGGGTCTGTCCGCGCCACCTTGTTGCCACAGCCAATCAGACCGTACCTTAAATTGTAAACAAACATGGTGTCGAGATTGCAAACAAGCTGGAGAATTGTAAATAAACAAGTTGCCGAGAATTTACACCCATTGATAGTAGTTTCTTATTTTAAAATAAATAAAAGTAGTTTTGTAGAAGTTCTTAGTACCAGCTCGATAATACTGATGGAAAACTCATTCATTGAATGAATTGTCTAATACAGCTCTAACCCCACACCACTGACTTACCCAGTACAGCTCTAACCCTGCACCACTGAATTACCTAATGTAGCTCTAACCCTACACCACTGAATTACCTAATGCAGGTCTGACCCTGCTCTACTGACTTACCTAGTACAGCTCTAACCCTACACCACTATATTACCTAATGCAAGTCTGACCCTCCTTGTAGTCGCTAGCACCGGTGAGGGGGCGGGGGTGATCGACCTGGATGGTTGAGCCGTCAGCCTTGGTGAGGAAGAGCCTGTCCTTCTTGATGTTGGGCCGGTGGAAGTTGGACTCCTGCCCCCTCAGGATGTCCTTCCCGGCCTCGATAAACTGCTCGAACTGGCCGTCTTGTGTGGGGTTGGTGTCTGCCTGTAACACAGCACAACCATCATGACCAAGACGACCACTACCACAACATTTACCACGACGACCACTATCACAACACTGACCAAGACGACCACTACCACAACACTGACCAAGACGACCACTACCACAACACTGACCGACCACTACCACAACACTGACCACGACGACCACTACCACAACATTGACCACTACCACAACACTGACCACGACGACCACTACCACAACATTGACCACTACCACAACACTGACCAAGACGACCACTATCACAACACTGACCAAGACGACCACTACCACAACACTGACCAAGACGACCACTACCACAACACTGACCGACCACTACCACAACACTGACCACGACGACCACTACCACAACATTGACCACTACCACAACACTGACCACGACGACCACTACCACAACATTGACCACTACCACAGCACTGACCAAGACGACCACTATCACAACACTGACCAAGACGACCACTACCACAACACTGACCAAGACGACCACTACCACAACACTGACCAAGACGACCACTACCACAACACTGACCAAGACGACCACTACCACAACACTGACCGACCACTACCACAACACTGACCACGACGACCACTACCACAACATTGACCGACCACTACCACAACACTGACCACGACGACCACTACCACAACATTGACCACTACCACAACACTGACCACTACCACAACACTGACCATGACGACCACAACACTGACCACGACGTCCACTACCACAACACTGACCACTACCTGTTTCTTCATCTTCTCCACCACGTTCAACAACACGTGCTGCCCAGGTGTAAAGATTCTGGTAGCGTAGCTGTAACCTGAGGAGTTCTTGACTTTCTCCACCTGTAACATTTTATAACATTGGTCATTCAATGATGACGTCATCTGATACACTCTGGTCATTCAACGATAATGTCATTATCTAATACACTCTGGTCACTCAATGATGACGTCATTATCTGATTCACTCTGGTCATTCAATAATCATGCCATTATTCAATATAACATATCTTAACATTTTTCTAATAGGATGGAACAAATATGCACTTATTTCTAATTTTTAAAGGTCGTTTGGAATGTCTGATCTTTGAGGTGGTGTTGTCTCACCTTTGAAATGTCTGTTTTCTCACCTTTAAGATGTCTGTTTTCTCACCTTTACCTTTGAAATGTCTGTTTTCTCACCTTTACCTTTGAAATGTCTGTTTTCTCACCTTTGAAATGTCTGTTTTCTCACCTTTACCTTTGAAATGTCTGTTTTCTCACCTTTACCTTTGAAATGTCTGTTTTCTCACCTTTGAAATGTCTGTTTTCTCACCTTTACCTTTGAAATGTCTGTTTTCTCACCTTTACCTTTGAAATGTCTGTTTTCTCACCTTTACCTTTGAAATGTCTGTTTTCTCACCTTTGAAATGTCTGTTTTCTCACCTTTACCTTTGAAATGTCTGTTTTCCTAACCTTTGAAATGTCTGTTTTCTCACATTTACCTTTGAAATGTCTGTTTTCTCACCTTTACCTTTGAAATGTCTGTTTTCTCACCTTTGAAATGTCTGTTTTCTCACCTTTGAAATGTCTGTTTTCTCACCTTTACCTTTGAAATGTCTGTTTTCTCACCTTTACCTTTGAAATGTCTGTTTTCTCACCTTTACCTTTGAAATGTCTGTTTTCTCACCTTTGAAATGTCTGTTTTCTCACCTTTACCTTTGAAATGTCTGTTTTCTCACCTTTACCTTTGAAATGTCTGTTTTCTCACCTTTGAAATGTCTGTTTTCCTAACCTTTGAAATGTCTGTTTTCCTAACCTTTGAAATGTCTGTTTTCTCACCTTTACCTTTGAAATGTCTGTTTTCTCACCTTTGAAATGTCTGTTTTCTCACCTTTGAAATGTCTTCTCACCTTTGAAATGTCTGTTTTCTCACCTTTGAAATGTCTGTTTTCTCACCTTTACCTTTGAAATGTCTGTTTTCTCACCTTTGAAATGTCTGTTTTCTCACCTTTGAAATGTCTGTTTTCTCACCTTTACCTTTGAAATGTCTGTTTTCTCACCTTTGAAATGTCTGTTTTCTCACCTTTACCTTTGAAATGTCTGTTTTCTCACCTTTGAAATGTCTGTTTTCTCACCTTTACCTTTGAAATGTCTGTTTTCTCACCTTTACCTTTGAAATGTCTATTTTCTCACCTTTGAAATGTCTGTTTTCCTAACCTTTGAAATGTCTGTTTTCTCACCTTTGAAATGTCTGTTTTCTCACCTTTGAAATGTCTGTTTTCTCACCTTTGAAATGTCTGTTTTCTCACCTTTACCTTTGAAATGTCTGTTTTCTCACCTTTACCTTTGAAATGTCTGTTTTCTCACCTTTACCTTTGAAATGTCTGTTTTCTCACCTTTGAAATGTCTGTTTTCTCACCTTTGAAATGTCTGTTTTCTCACCTTTACCTTTGAAATGTCTGTTTTCTCACCTTTACCTTTGAAATGTCTGTTTTCTCACCTTTGAAATGTCTGTTTTCTCACCTTTGAAATGTCTGTTTTCTCACCTTTGAAATGTCTGTTTTCTCACCTTTACCTTTGAAATGTCTGTTTTCTCACCTTTACCTTTGAAATGTCTGTTTTCTCACCTTTACCTTTGAAATGTCTGTTTTCTCACCTTTACCTTTGAAATGTCTGTTTTCTCACCTTTACCTTTGAAATGTCTGTTTTCTCACCTTTGAAATGTCTGTTTTCCTAACCTTTGAAATGTCTGTTTTCCTAATCTTTGAAATGTCTGTTTTCTCACCTTTACCTTTGAAATGTCTGTTTTCTCACCTTTGAAATGTCTGTTTTCTCACCTTTGAAATGTCTGTTTTCTCACCTTTAAAATGTCTGTTTTCTCACCTTTACCTTTAAAATGTCTGTTTTCTCACCTTTACCTTTGAAATGTCTGTTTTCTCACCTTTGAAATGTCAGTTTTCTCACCTTTGAAATGTCTGTTTTCTCACCTTTGAAATGTCTGTTTTCTCACCTTTGAAATGTCTGTTTTCTCACCTTTTAAATGTCTGTGTTCTCACCTTTTAAATGTCTGTTTTCCTAACCTTTGAAATGTCTGTGTTCTCACCTTTGAGCAGTAGATGTAGAGGGCTCCCGTGTCGTCGACTGGCGTGGACACCACGACGTCCCCCAGACGCACGTGCTGTTTATAGTCTGAGTAGTGGGGCACGGCCCCGCCCACCCCCACCATCAGCACGTGCTGGACCTGGCTGAACGTGCCTGCCCGGGGTAAAGTCATCCACAGGTAAACAAGAGGGAATAAAGTCATCCACAGGTAAACAACAGGGAATAAAGTCATCCACAGGTAAACAACAGGGAATAAAGTCATCCACAGGTAAACAACAGGTGATAAAGTCATCCACAGGTAAACAACAGGGAATAAAGTCATCCACAGGTAAACAACAGGGAATAAAGTCATCCACAGGTAAACAACAGGGAATAGAGTCATCCACGGGTAAACAACAGGTGATAAAGTCATCCACAGGTAAACAACAGGGAACTAAGTCATCCACAGGTAAACAACAGGGAATAGAGTCATCCACAGGTAAACAACAGGGAATAAAGTCATCCACGGGTAAACAACAGGGAATAAAGTCATCCACAGGTAAACAACAGGTGATAAAGTCATCCACAGGTAAACAACAGGGAATAAAGTCATCCACAAGTAAAACAACAGGGAATAAAGTCATCCACAGGTAAACAACAGGGAATAAAGTCATCCACAGGTAAACAACAGGGAATAAAGTCATCCACGGGTAAACAACAGGGAATAAAGTCATCCACAGGTAAACAACAGGTGATAAAGTCATCCACAGGTAAACAACAGGGAATAAAGTCATCCACAGGTAAACAACAGGGAATAAAGTCATCCACAGGTAAACAACAGGGAATAAAGTCATCCACAGGTAAACAACAGGGAATAAAGTCATCCACAGGTAAACAACAGGGAATAAAGTCATCCACAGGTAAACAACAGGGAATAGAGTCATCCACGGGTAAACAACAGGTGATAAAGTCATCCACAGGTAAACAACAGGGAATAAAGTCATCCACGGGTAAACAACAGGGAATAAAGTCATCCACAGGTAAACAACAGGTGATAAAGTCATCCACAGGTAAACAACAGGGAATAAAGTCATCCACGGGTAAACAACAGGGAATAAAGTCATCCACGGGTAAACAACAGGTGATAAAGTAATCCACAGGTAAACAACAGGGGATAAAGTAATCCACAGGTAAACAACAGGGAATAAAGTTATCCACAGGTAAACAACAGGTGATAAAGTCAACCACAGGTAAACAACAGGGAATAAAGTCATCCACAGGTAAACAACAGGGAATAAAGTCATCCACAGGTAAACAACAGGGAATAAAGTCATCCACAGGTAAACAACAGGGAATAAAGTCATCCACAGGTAAACAACAGGGAATTAAGTCATCCACATGTAAACAGCAGGGAATAAAGTCATCCACAGGTAAACAACAGGGAATAAAGTTATCCACAGGTAAACAACAGGGAATAAAGTCATCCACAGGTAAACAACAGGGAATAAAGTCATCCACAGGTAAACAACAGGGAATAAAGTCATCCACGTGTAAATAACAGGGAATAAAGTCATCCACAGGTAAACAACAGGGAATAAAGTGTATGCTAGGCGCAAGTTTTCTAGAACAGTGTAACAGTGTACTTTAGACAGGGAAGGGGTGGGAAGTGCACCAAACAGATAAACACAATATACAAGGGGCGTAATTTTCTCCAGTTTCAACATTAGATGAAGGGAAGTAATCACACAAATGTTTGACACACAGATGAAGGGAGGTAATTACACACATTTTTGACATGATGAAGGGAGATAATTACCCAGTAGTCTCGTCACCGTGTTCTCGGCTGCTATGATGTCCCCCTCCACGTCCCCCATTTTGGCCAGTTTTGTCGAGACAACTTTGTGTCTGCCGATGTGTCCTAGGGTGTACACCTGAGACTCGCCTACACGGGGGGAGGAGGGGAATATTTTATTGTACATTCACAAAGATATGTGTCATTGCGATACAAGAAAGGAATAAATAATTTTTAAAATTTACTTTTTCTGTAAGTGAGCAGACGTTAAAAGTGAGACCCACCCTCAGTTTAAAACTTCACCTTAAAAATGTGAGACCCACCCTGTTAAAAACTTGACCTTCTAAAATGTGAGGCCCACCCTGTGTTTAAAACGACCTTGAAAAAGTGAGACCCACCCTCTGTTTTAAACTTGACCTTAAAAAAATGCGACCCTCCCTCGGTTTTAAACTTGACCTTCAAAAAGCGACCCACCCTGTTTAAAACTTGACCTTAAAAAGTGAGACCCACCCTGTGTTTAAAACGACCTTAAAAAAGTGAGACCCACCCTCTGTTTTGAACTTGACGAAAGTTTTTTTGTTCTCGATCATGGCGTCCACGGCCAACTTCTCGTGGTAGAGGCTGGTAACGATGGCGATGGTCGGCTGCTCCTTGCCCGTCAGGGTGGGCAGCTCCTGTACCAGCACCACCTCTAGAACACAAGGCACAAGATTTTATACCAACACGCTTTGCTTTTTTATCATGCAGATTTGTTGAAGCTAGTTTCTTTATCCTCCTGGTCTAAATGCTTGTTCAAAATACATAGAGAAACTGTAACCATCCTCTACCATCAACCTCCCTGCCATAAACCTTACACCTATCCGTGGACTTACACCGCTTTACCATAAACCTAGTCTACACTAAACCTACCATCCTCTACATTAAACCTGTCAAGAACCTCCCATCCTCTAACATGAACCTACCATCCTCTACACTAAACCTACCATCCTAAACCTACCCTCAACCTACCATCCTCTACCCTGAACCTACCATCCTCTACACTAAACCTACCCTGAACCTACCATCCTCTACATTAAACCTACCATGAACCTACCGTCCTCTACACTAAACCTACCCTGAACCTACCATCTTCTACACTAAACCTACCCTGAACCTACCGTGCTCCTCTATCTCCTCCTTGCACTGCATCCTCATCCACACCCCCGGCCCCACCTCCTGCCCCACCTCTCGTATGAGACCTTTCTTCTCCAGGTCTTTGAGCATGACGATGGCTGTTATCCCATCAGACGGCTTCAACTTGCTCAGCCTGTAAGGATGTCAGATTAAGTAGGTCAGTCGTGGGATAAACTAGGTCACTCGTGGGATAAACTAGGTCACTCGTGGGATAAACTAGGTCACTCGTGTGATAAACTGGGTCATTCATCAGGCAAACTAGGTCACTCGTGGGATAAACTAGGTCACTCGTGTGATAAACTAGGTCACTCGTGGGATAAACTAGGTCACTCGTGGGATAAATCAGGCCACTCGTGGGATAAACTAGGTCATTCATCAGGCAAACTAGGTCACTCGTGGGATAAACTAGGTCACTCGTGTGATAAACTAGGTCATTAATTAGGCAAACTAGGTCACTCTTAAAAAACAAACCGAAATCACCTATGAAGCTGTATCATCCATGCAGTAAACTAGGTCATGATTTAGCAAATTGGGCCATTAATATATAGTAGGTTACTCTTGTAGTGAACTAGATCGGTTAGGCAACCTTTAAATGAAGTAGCCACTTACTTGAACAGTTTATCTGTGGGTAAATTGTTGGGGTAAGCGTCCTCCAACACTTGCAACATTTTTTGTTTTTTGGCCAACCACAGCAAGGACAACTTGATTTTATTCCACTTGACCTCTCGCTTTAAATCTTTTTCATCTGGCGAACACAATCAAAGGCTTGCTAGAGCCACATACATGGAAGGTGGGCTTCTAAGGGGACTAACATAGACTCATACTTTCATACATGCAGACACCGTTAGCAGTAGGCACCCGAACCTGCAGGCACCCCAACCTGCAGACACGTTGACCTGTAGACACAGTTACCTGCAGACACAGTTACCTTTAGACACCCACCTATAATTTCAGCAAACTCCCACTGTCCTTTAGACAGCCTGCTAGTGGCCACGGCCATGCTGTTGACTTTAAACTGACGGTTCTCCGGCACCTCCCACCTCAAGAACGTGTGATGTCCGTACTTCGCTCCCTTGCCGACCTGCACGCAGTTGTCTGCCCATGACAGCCAGAAATAGCGAAATTCTGGGGGAAAGAGAAGACAACTATGACAGATACGGTGATTTTTTTTGTGTGCATTTTTAAAATTCTCTTTTGATTTTTAAAAATTAAATGCCAGTTAATTAGCTAGAGGTTATAAAGGTCAAGGCTAACCAGTTTCACTCAAGAGGTTGACAGTGTTGGCCTCAGACTTGACGCCGCCCAGAGAACCGTCCCTGATGTAGGACTTAGTGTTGCCGTCTGCTCCTAGGCAGACCTCGTACGTCTTCCGCTCCACGTCCCCGTACACCGCGCACAGGGCGATCTGCGCGTCACACTTGGCCTTGATCTTGAAGGTCAAGAACGCTTTGTTGTCCACGGCCACTTCCGGCACGAACCGGTAGGTGTAGGAGTCAGGGGTGAACACAGACACAAAGCTTTCTGTAGGAGTCATTAGAGTCAGGGGTGAACACAGACACAAAACTTTCTGTAGGAGTCATTGGAGTCAGGGGTGAACACAACAATTTCTGTAGGAGTCATTAGAGTCAGGGGGAACACAGATACAAAGGTATGTCCAGAGAAACAGCAAAATATATGCCACTGGGGGCGGGACAAAGTTAAAGATAAGATTAAAGTCCTGTGTTACACCAGGGATTAAAGAGGATTAAGTCAGGTAAGTCATGTAACAGGTAACAGATGATAAAAAAAGTTGGCGATCTACTCACTGATTGGAGGCAGATCTTCCTCTTCATCGTTCAACTCTTCTACCTCAAGTTCCAGGCGCTTGACCAGTGGGTAACTTTTTAACAACACTAGCGCCCTCTTGATAAAACCCACGTACTCTGGTAAATATTACAAACTTTTTAACAACACTAGCGCCCTCTTGATAAAGCCCACGTACTCTGGTAAATATTACAAACTTTTAATGAAACTAGCCCTTTAATAAGATAAACACTTCCTGTTCACAAAGTTAAATTCACAAACTGTTTACAAACAGATAATATTGTGAAATTTAGACCAGTTACTCTAAGTTTCTAGAACGATAGGCGGATGACCGCACCATCCCTTGATATGCCGAGGTAACAAAAAATTAAATTTACTTCATTTGCCTAATGGATCGCTAGGTCTAAAGAGGAACTTTACTTTTTAATATTGAAAAGTTTCATAAAGATTACTACTTCAAAAGAGCTATCGCCTAACAGAATTAAGATTGAATGGTGTGTCGGTATGGTTGAGATCAAGTTTTGTAAGGTCGATCAATTCACCCCAAAATTTCGTCAACCCTTTTATTGTTGGAATATCCGTTTACTTAACCCGAACAATACCCTTTCAGTTATTATCAACAAACGAAATGTCGTCTCATTTTTCTTTGATCTTCTATCAAGCTTAGAACACAATGAAAACTACAGGAGTGGAGGCTAACCGAAACTCCTGTAGAAGAAATTACTTGTTCGAGGAAATGACTTATTGGAGAAAATGACGTTCGAGGAAATGACTTGGAGAAAATGACTCACTTCTGGGTAGGTTTGTTGGGCTGATGAGCTCCGAGAAATAATCCCTGAAAGTTTTTTTCTTGGTCACTCCGTCAGCCGTGCCACGAAACCAAAACCTCAGTGCCCAGCGGTCCTGTGGATCAATGGTCAGCACAATCATACAAGTGGTCGTCACAATCATGCAAGTGGTCAGCACAATCATGCAAGTGGTCAGTACAAACATACAAGTGGTCAGCACAATCATGCAATTGGTCAGCACAATCATACACGTGGTCAGCACAATCACACACGTGGTCAGCACAATCATACAAGTGGTCAGCACAATCATACAAGTGGTCAGCACAATCATACAAGTGGTCAGCACAATCATACACGTGGTCAGCACAATCACGCAAGTGGTCAGCACAATAATACAAGTGGTCAGCACAATCATACAGGTGGTCAACACAATCATACAGGTGGTCAACACAATCACACAATGTGGTCAGCACAATCCCACAACAAATGGACACCACAATAACACAAACCGTCAACACGTCAACACAAATACAGCAGTAGTGAGTCAATAAATAAATACACGGATATCAGCATGTCATCGTGACCCATGTGTCGTCTGTCATTGTGTGATCTACACAGACTGCTGTGGACTGCCACCAGTTGTGTTTGTGTGTAGGGTGAGGGGGGGGGGGGGTACGTCTGGTCACACTGCAGAATGTTAAAGGCATGGACAAGTCCTTTTATACAAGTCTTTTTACTGCAGTACCACCACGCAAACCGTGTGTGATTTATTACCCAGCAGCCTTGAGTTAAACTAACATACACACAGCGTCTTGTACACATCAACCACACCCATTATAAGGACAGGGGTGACAAATATGGTGGCAGTACTAGAGAAGCTTTAATGTCGACAGGTCAGGGGGCTAGGACCCAGGACTAGGAACTATAACTAGAAGTAGGAGATTTTTGTCAAGATATCTCAATGCTTTAGACGTCTCAAACAGAAACACCAGAATATTTTACCTAGAGCTTCAAAAACCAATATAGCTGCTGTTGTGAGAAAAGAATTGATTGCCAGGAGCATGTTATTGATTAGCGTGTCTGAATTGATTTTATTGATTTTCGCTGAACTGATGTTTGAGTTAGGTGAAAGTTTATGCTGCTGGATGGTCAACATGTTGAACTAGCTGGTCTGATGCCTTTGTTACATGATAAAACCCGTACCAACACCTGAGGTCACCTGTACCAACACCTGAGGTCACCTGTACCAACACCTGAGGTCACCTGTACCAACACCTGAGGTCACCTGTACCAACACCTGAGGTCACCAACACCTGAGGTCACCTACACCTGAGGTCACCTGTACCAACACCTGAGGTCACCTGTACCAACACCTGAGGTCACCTGTACCAACACCTGAGGTCACCTGTACCAACACCTGAGGTCACCTGTACCAACACCTGAGGTCACCTGTACCAACACCTGAGGTCACCTGTACCAACACCTGAGGTCACCTGTACCAACACCTGAGGTCACCTGTACCAACACCTGAGGTCACCAACACCTGAGGTCACCTACACCTGAGGTCACCTGTACCAACACCTGAGGTCACCTGTACCAACACCTGAGGTCACCTGTACCAACACCTGAGGTCACCAACACCTGAGGTCAACTATACCAACACCTGAGGTCACCTGTACCAACGAGTTGCTTACCTTAACAGAAGCGTTGTTCTGATGTGAGTTGATCAGACACGCCATAAATTCTATCCGACCCTCGGGGGGCCCCACGGTGTCCAGTTCTGTGGAAAACACACAGAGCTTTGGTCAGTGGCTAGAGCACATTAAACAGTGGTCAGTGGTTGGGTCACATTAAACAGTGGTCATTGGCTGCATCAAACAGTGGTCAGTGGCTAAATCACATCAAACAGTGGTCAGTGGCTGCATCACATTAATGATCAGTGGAGAAAATAAACTCACAATATTACAATTAAGCTGAGGATAGACCAGCCCTGACCCCCAGCCCTGACCCCCAGCCCTGACCCTCAACCCTGACCCCCACCCCTGACCTCCAGCCCTGAACCCCAGCCCTGACTCCCCCCCCCACCCGTTTAGACACTCACTGTCCGCCTGTTTGTTGACCAAGATGCCCTTATAAGGACCTCCAGCGATGTGGTGGATCTGGTTGAAGTTGATGTCTTTTCTCTTCACTCTCTCCATCCTCATCATCGCCTGACCGTTGTTCTTGAGGGCCGTCATCACCACCTCTGTGAGATAACATACAATGTAAGACGTCATCACCACTAAACGGTGCTCGAGTTATCAGCTTTTGAGAAACCGTGAGTAAATACTACTTCCGGTTACCGGAAATCGCTCCAAAAAAATAATTAAAAAATCAACATATTTGATTAACTAGTACAGAGTAAATACGACTTTCGGTCACCCAAAAGGTGAAATAAAACTACAAATTATATCAAATACGTATATAAATGAAATTTCATCAACGTAACTTCTTCTTCTTCTTCTTCGTTCTTAATTTTTAGTGTTGGAAGGGATCGAGCCTTATCGGCCAGAGGGTTATCAACCAAGAGCTTTTTGCCGACTCGACCACGCCTCCATCACAATTAAGGCGTCAATTGTTTATGCGCCATTGAGGCCATTTCAGCCTGCTTTTCTTTTCGGATTTGCTTCCATAGCCTTTGTCCAACCAAGAACAAACTACAAGGCAGCAGATGTTTGATTTTGGAGTTGTCTTTCCTAGAAGAATAGTTGTCACCAACTAACGAGCCTCATCTGCCCGAGAACAACATAACTGAAAAGGTACTCTAGTTATCGTGTTTTCAGACCCAAAGACAAAAATGCAAACGGAAGTAGGGAAAACGACGAGATGTGTGAAAATCTTGATTTCTATATATGTTTACCCGACTACAATAAGTCCTCTATAAAGACACCCTATTCTAGAACAATTTAGTGCTTAAAAAATTCCATTGCGGATTTTCAAATAAATTTAGGGTGTTATGTTATATAGTTCTAAACTTCCTGTCACTGTCCATATAATATTAACACAAAAATAAATAACCTTCCGATTACACTGATATAACATCATTATATCTTTTGTAAAAGTAGTTTGTATTGTAAAAAAATTATTTAGGTAAGCCCTACCACCCACAACTCCCTAAAAACGATCTATTGAACCCCCCCCCCACACACACACACACCCACACACACACCAACACACACCCACACACTACATCAAAAACAAAACGTCGAAAAGTTGCCGGTCTGGTTTGGAGAAAGTCACCCACACGACCGTTTAAGCTACACCAAAATATCACCCCCCCCCCCCCGGGCAATCAGCTACCATCTCCAAACCTTGTCCCAGCAATTTAACAAATCCTCCATTCTCTTAACAGGTACACACAACACACAACATACACTAAACACATTCGTTCGTTCGTAGCTTCATCTACACATCCCGCTATGGTAATAGATTCACTGACATCAAAAAAATCTTGCTATTGTAAGAGCAATTTTAGGGCCATAATACACATCAATACATAGTGACGTCATGTCGTGCTGACGACCCATTCTTCATCTGTCTTGATCTGCCTCAATATTTGCGTGTGTCTTGATTTGTCTCAATGTCTGCTTGTCTTGATGTGTCGCAATATCTGCGTGTGTCTTGATGTGTCTCAATATCTGCGTGTGTCTTGATTTGTCTCAATATCTGCGTGTGTCTTGATGTGTCTCAATATCTGCGTGTGTCTTGATGTGTCTCAATATCTGCGTGTGTCTTGATTTGTCTTGATGTGTCTCAATATCTGCGTGTGTCTTGATTTGTCTTGATGTGTCTCAATATCTGCGTGTGTCTTGATTTGTCTTGATGTGTCTCAATATCTGGGAGTGTCTTGATGTGTCTCAATATCTGGGAGTGTCTTGATGTGTCTCAATATCTGGGAGTGTCTTGATGTGTCTCAATATCTGCATGTGCCTTGATGAGTCTCAATATCTGTATGTGTCTTGATGTGTCTCAATGTCTGCGTGTCTTGATGTGTCTCAATGTCTGCGTGTTTCCTTATGAGTCTCAATATCTACATGTGTCGAGATCTGTCTCAATATCTGCGCGTGTTTTGATGTGTTATCACCATCCTGTCTTAATCAATCTCGATGTAAGCTTGTCTTGCTGTGTCTTAATTCTGTCTATCAACCCACCATTGAAAGAGTCCCACGATTAATGTAACACGTATTATTCCGCTGACCCTAATGAATTGTGCTAGATCGATATCCTATAGTTCGCGTGCTTACATAACACGCACATTTCACTGACCTTGTCAAATACACTAGCCTAGCAAATTGTAACACACTGACAGATGTTCACATTCAAAGTACGCATTAAACTATCTGTCTGCTTTCATTCATCAGATGTAGGTCATCGTATGCTTGAGTGATTCGCTCGCTTGTTTATGGTTGAATTATTGCTATTTTTAGCAACAAACGGGATCTGAAGCCTCTAACCCAACAAGTTTAGAAAACATCACTAGTCACTCATCGCCGTGGTTATTTGGATAAGTAAATATAACCCTAACCCTAACCCTGAACTGGTGTTAGTTAGGGCTAAAGGTGACGTGTAGTTAATGTCACGTAGAGGAAGTGTCAGTGACACGTCATCACTGAGTGCTGTCATTAGTACTGGCGCATCATTTGATGAGTTAACCATGGCTGCAGCTAACCATAGCTAGAGGTGACCATAGCTAGAGGTGACCAGAGCTAGAGGTGACCATAGCTAGAGGTGACCATAGCTAGAGGTGACAATAGCTAGAGGTGACCATAGCTAGAGGTGACCACAGCTAGAGGTGACCATAGCTAGAGGTGACCATAGCTAGAGGTGACCATAGCTAGAGGTGACTAGAGCTAGAGGTGACCATAGCTAGAGGTGACCATAGCTAGAGGTGACCATAGCTAGAGGTGACCATAGCTAGAGGTGACCACAGCTAGAGGTGACCATAGCTAGAGGTGACCATAGCTAGAGGTGACCATAGCTAGAGGTGACTAGAGCTAGAGGTGACCATAGCTAGAGGTGACCATAGCTAGAGGTGACCATAGCTAGAGGTGACCATAGCTAGAGGTGACCTTAGGTAAAGGTGACCATAGCTAGAAGTGACCATAGCTAGAGGTGACCATAGCTAGAGGTGGACATAGCTAGAGGTGACCCTAGATAAAGATGACCATAGCTAGAGGTGACCGTAGCTAGAGGTGACCATAGCTAGAGGTGACCAGAGCTAGAGGTGACCATAGCTAGAGGTGACCATAGCTAGAGGTGACCAGAGCTAGAGGTGACCATAGCTAGAGGTGACCATAGCTAGAGGTGACCAGAGCTAGAGGTGACCATAGCTAGAGGTGACCATAGCTAGAGGTGACCATAGCTAGAGGTGACCATAGCTAGAGGTGACCATAGCTACAGGTGACCATAGCTAGAGGTGACCCTATGTAAAGATGACCATAGCTAGAGGTGACCATAGCTACAGATGACCATAGCTAGAGGTGACCCTAGGTAAAGATGACCATAGCTAGAGGTGACCGTAGCTAGAGGTAACCACAGCTAGAGGTGACCGTAGCTAGAGGTGACCATAGCTAGAGATTTTGCAACAGCACTGTGAATGTCAGTTTATTAAAAACCAACATAAGTCATCGCAGTTAACATAAGATCTGCATGTGGATACGTTTGTGAATACGTTTGACCATGATGTGGTGACATGAGACCTACCTGTGGATAAGTTTGTGGATAAAAGTGTGGATACGTTTGACCACGATGCCCCTACCTTCTGTGTTGTCTTTGGTTCCCATCTCTCACACCGTCAAATGTCTCCAGTCCTGTTGGTGCTGGGAGAACAAAACACAAGCATAAAGTACTCTACTTGCTGGGGAACAAAACACAAACATAAAGTACTCTACTTGCTGGGGAACAAAACATACAGTACTCTACTTGACTCTACTTGCTGGGAGAACAAAACACAAACATAAAGTACTCTACTTGCTGGGAAACAAAACACAAACATAAAGTACTCTACTTGCTGGGGGAACAAAACACAAACATAAAGTACTCTACTTGCTGGGGGAACAAAACACAAACATAAAGTACTCTACTTGCTGGGGGAACAAAACACAAACATAAAGTACTCTACTTGCTGGGGGAACAAAACACAAACATAAAGTACTCTACTTGCTGGGGAAACAAAACACAAACATAAAGTACTCTACTTGCTGGGGGAACAAATCACAAACATACAGTACTCTACTGGTTGGGAGAACAAAACACAAACATAAAGTACTCTACTTGCTGGGGGAACAAAACACAAACATAAAGTACTCTACTTGCTGGGGAAACAAAACACAAACATAAAGTACTCTACTTGCTGGGGGAACAAATCACAAACATACAGTACTCTACTGGTTGGGAGAACAAAACACAAACATAAAGTACTCTACTTGCTGGGGGAACAAAACACAAACATAAAGTACTCTACTTGCTGGGGAAACAAAACACAAACATAAAGTACTCTACTTGCTGGGGGAACAAATCACAAACATACAGTACTCTACTGGTTGGGAGAACAAAACACAAACATAAAGTACTCTACTTGCTGGGGAACAAAACACAAACATAAAGTACTCTACTTGCTGGGGAAACAAAACACAAACATAAAGTACTCTACTTGCTGGGGGAACAAAACACAAACATAAAGTACTCTACTTGCTGGGGAACAAAACACAAACATAAAGTACTCTACTTGCTGGGGGAACAAATCACAAACATACAGTACTCTACTGGTTGGGAGAACAAAACACAAACATAAAGTACTCTACTTGCTGGGGGAACAAAACACAAACATAAAGTACTCTACTTGCTGGGGAAACAAAACACAAACATAAAGTACTCTACTTGCTGGGGGAACAAAACACAAACATAAAGTACTCTACTTGCTGGGGAAACAAAACACAAACATAAAGTACTCTACTTGCTGGGGGAACAAATCACAAACATACAGTACTCTACTGGTTGGGAGAACAAAACACAAACATAAAGTACTCTACTTGCTGGGGGAACAAAACACAAACATAAAGTACTCTACTTGCTGGGGAAACAAAACACAAACATAAAGTACTCTACTTGCTGGGGAACAAAACATACAGTACTCTACTTGCTGGGGGAACAAAACACAAACATAAAGTACTCTACTTGCTGGGGGAACAAAACACAAACATAAAGTACTCTACTTGCTGGGGGAACAAAACACAAACATAAAGTACTCTACTTGCTGGGGGAACAAAACACAAACATAAAGTACTCTACTTGCTGGGGAAACAAAACACAAACATAAAGTACTCTACTTGCTGGGGGAACAAAACACAAACATAAAGTACTCTACTTGCTGGGGAAACAAAACATAAAGTACTCTACTTGCTGGGGGAACAAAACACAAACATAAAGTACTCTACTTGCTGGGGGAACAAAACACAAACATAAAGTACTCTACTTGCTGGGGGAACAAAACACAAACATAAAGTACTCTACTTGCTGGGGAAACAAAACACAAACATAAAGTACTCTACTTGCTGGGGGAACAAAACACAAACATAAAGTACTCTACTTGCTGGGGGAACAAAACACAAACATAAAGTACTCTACTTGCTGGGGGAACAAAACACAAACATAAAGTACTCTACTTGCTGGGGAAACAAAACACAAACATAAAGTACTCTACTTGCTGGGGGAACAAAACACAAACATAAAGTACTCTACTTGCTGGGGAAACAAAACATAAAGTACTCTACTTGCTGGGGGAACAAAACACAAACATAAAGTACTCTACTTGCTGGGGGAACAAAACACAAACATAAAGTACTCTACTTGCTGGGGGAACAAAACACAAACATAAAGTACTCTACTTGCTGGGGGAACAAAACACAAACATAAAGTACTCTACTTGCTGGGGAAACAAAACACAAACAAAAAGTACTCTACTTGCTGGGGGAACAAAACACAAACATAAAGTGCTCTACTTGCTGGGGGAACAAAACATACAGTACTCTACTTGCTGGGGAAACAAAACACAAACATAAAGTACTCTACTTGCTGGGGGAACAAAACACAAACATAAAGTACTCTACTTGCTGGGGGAACAAAACACAAACATAAAGTACTCTACTTGCTGGGCGAACAAAATCCAAACATAAAGTACTCTACTTGCTGGGGGAACAAAACACAAGCATAAAGTACTCTACTTGCTGGGAAACAAAACACAAGCATAAAGTACTCTACTTGCTGGGGGAACAAAATACAAACATAAAGTACTCTACTTGCTGGGGAAACAAAACATACAGTACTCTACTTGCTGGGGAACAAAACACAAACATAAAGTACTCTACTTGCTGGGGGAACAAAACACAAACATAAAGTACTCTACTTGCTGGGGGAACAAAACACAAACATAAAGTACTCTACTTGCTGGGGGAACAAAACATAAAATACTCTACTTGCTGGGGGAACAAAACACAAACATAAAGTACTCTACTTGCTGGGGAAACAAAACACAAACATAAAGTACTCTACTTGCTGGGGAACAAAACACACACATAAAGTACTCTACTTGCTGGGGAACAAAACACACACATAAAGTACTCTACTTGCTGGGGAACAAAACACACACATAAAGTACTCTACTTGCTGGGGTAACAAAACACAAACATAAAGTACTCTACTTGCTGGGGGAACAAAACACAAGCATAAAGTACTCTACTTGCTGGGGGAACAAAACACAAACATAAAGTACTCTACTTGCTGGGGGAACAAAACACAAACATAAAGTACTCTACTTGCTGGGGGAACAAAACACAAACATAAAGTACTCTACTTGCTGGGGGAACAAAACACAAACATAAAGTACTCTACTTGCTGGGGGAAAAAAACATAAAGTACTCTACTTGCTTGGGGAACAAAACACAAACATAAAGTACTCTACTTGCTGGGGAAACAAAACACAAACATAAAGTACTCTACTTGCTGGGGAACAAAACACACACATAAAGTACTCTACTTGCTGGGGAACAAAACACACACATAAAGTACTCTACTTGCTGGGGAACAAAACACAAGCATAAAGTACTCTACTTGCTGGGGGAACAAAACACAAACATAAAGTACTCTACTTGCTGGGGGAACAAAACACAAACATAAAGTACTCTACTTGCTGGGGGAACAAAACACAAACATAAAGTACTCTACTTGCTGGGGGAACAAAACATAAAGTACTCTACTTGCTGGGGAACAAAACACAAGCGTAAAGTACTCTACTTGCCGGGGGAACAAAACAAAAGCATAAAGTACTCTACTTGCTGGGGGAACAAAACACAAACATAAAGTACTCTACTTGCTGGGGGAACAAAACACAAACATAAAGTACTCTACTTGCTGGGGAACAAAACACAAACATAAAGTACTCTACTTGCTGGGGGAACAAAACACAAGCATAAAGTACTCTACTTGCTGGGAAACAAAACACAAACATAAAGTACTCTACTTGCTGGGGGAACAAAACACAAACATAAAGTACTCTACTTGCTGGGGAAACAAAACACAAACATAAAGTACTCTACTTGCTGGAGAACAAAACACAAACATAAAGTACTCTACTTGCTGGGGAAACAAAACACAAACATAAAGTACTCTACTTGCTGGGGGAACAAAACACAAACATAAAGTACTCTACTTGCTGGGGGAACAAAACACAAACATAAAGTACTCTACTTGCTGGGGGAACAAAACACAAGCATAAAGTACTCTACTTGCTGGGGGAACAAAACATAAAGTACTCTACTTGCTGGGGGAACAAAACACAAACATAAAGTACTCTACTTGCTGGGAAACAAAACACAAGCATAAAGTACTCTACTTGCTGTACACCAAAGCAAAGTTTGATTTAAGTCAATTGTACAGGCATTAATAATTAATTTACAAGTATTAGACAATAATACAATTAATGATATAGTCCATAAAGCTATAATTTAGTCAATAATACAAATAATAATTCTATCAATTATACTTTCAAAGAACCGAAAGGTCCCGAGTTCGAACCCCCGACAGGTGAGACTCGATAGATGGGGACAGCTACCCGTCCAGGAGAGACAACTCCAAAATCAAACAACTGCTGTCTTGTAGTTTGTTCTTGAAAAAAACTAAGGAAGCAAATTCAGAAAGAAAGGCAAGCTGAAATCGTCAACGGCCGATATGGCGCATATCAAGTTGACACTTAATACTTTAATTGTGTCGGAGGAAATCCCGTGGAGCATTACAATTACAAAGGAAGAAGAAATATTTTCATAGGAACTGTTAAACTGGCACATTTAATTTTTTAAATCCACTTCTCTCAGATATTTTTGGAGGTAGATGCTTGACCGATACACATTTAGTCACTAGGTAGGCTCAGTGTTAACTTGGTCCACACATTTAGCTATTCAACTCGGCTGGAGCAGCTAAGCGCCATGTTGCAGTAAAGCAACATTAAAGTGTAACATGAAAACTAGGCCGGCCTTGCACAATCGAGCAAGCATATCGCCATGTGTACACAGCCATAAAGCCCCGATATCTTGGCATTGTTAGCCTAGGCCAAACAAACCAAATTTATGGTCTAGAAACGTTCAATGTGGCAACTCTGACTTCCCGCCTACACGTAGTCTAGCAGGCACCACAAGAGGCACTTCCGCTTCTTTCAATAGTTTTAGAACTGTCAAGTCAAGGGGATATTTGCCCGATTTGACTTTCACGTGTGTGTGTGTGTTTAGCTAATACAGGGATTATATTAAAACAAGCACTAAATTTACTA